TGACTCCGAAATCATGCCAAGCACAGCCGCTGGTGCCCCGTTTTACGTCTCCTCGTCATCTGAATGGGACGACGAAGATAGCGGAGCCCTAGTTCCAGAGACTTCAAGAGCTACCGGCAAGCCTGAGAGAACTCCTTGCCGAGGCCTATGCCTTCTTCACAAGTTCACACCAACTGGAGAGAGCAGAAAAGCGCGTGTCCCTTGCCACCTACGGAAAAGCCCAGGAGCGGATCTTGTGTGAGTACTGTCTGTTTATTTCTTTAAAATACGTGTTGTTTGGCCTGTTTAGAATATCCGACGTGGTTTACTCGATTCCAATAGAAACGTGGCACAAACCCGTGTTTGCCGTCTTAAGTTAGAGAAGCGAAGGAAAGAAGAATCAGGGGGCACCCAACAATTGTTTTCTGTAAAATATCTGTTCAGAGAAGAATATAATGCCTAGAATTTTGTGTCGCTCGAGGACAGCTAAAAATTTCTAGATGACCGTTTCATTCTTGTACCATTTCCGAAACTTATCCAATAAATTCAAGTGCTATTTCAAACATTTTTTTTTTTGGAGGAACAAGTAATACAGGGAATCATGATCCTACGAGTCTGGCCTACTCAAGTTTTGTGGCCACAACTGCTGAAAATGTTAATTGCATTTCCATTAGTCTTGCTGAAGCAGGAGGACCTACTTTCACTATCACACTCTCCTCAAACACTACATCCCTTAAGGAGGAAATTGACTATGCTGCCATGTCTCCTGTCTGGCAATCAATCCAGGATAGAGGAATTTCAGAGGCGGCTGCTAAGCTCATCATGGCCTCCTGGAGAGACGGAACAAAGAAACAGTACAGTACCTACATTACAAAGTGACAAAAGTTTTGTAATCAGAGGCAGATCAGTCACATTCAACCATCTGTAGTGTCTGTGCTTGATTTTCTAACCCTGCTATATCAGCAAGGCCTTACATACAGTGCCATCAATACAGCCCGAAGTGCTTTATCTAGCTATATTACTTTAGAAAATGGGACATTCGTAGGAAAACACCCTCTAGTATCTCAGCTAATGAAAGGCATTTTCCAGGAAAAACCACCGAGACCTAAGTACCCAGAAATTTGCGATGTGTCCATTGTTCTTTCATACCTTCAGTCTTTATCCCCTGTGGATAAATTGTCCTTGAAGTAACTTACACTGAAACTCCTTGTGCTTATTCTATTAGTTTCGGGCCAAAGAGGTCAGACCATTCATTTGCTAAGCATTGACCACATGGTCTCTGTGAATAATTGCTATAATTTTCAGATTGTTGACCACTTAAAACAACGCAGAACAGGCGTCAAAAATCCTCTTGTAGAACTCAGACCTTTCAAGGATGAGACTCTCTGTGTTGTAACAACATTAAAGGAGTATCCAACAAGGACACAATCCTTACGGGGCTCAAAGTTATAACAGACCTTTTAAAAGAGTCAGTAGAGACACCATTAGTCGTTAGGTTAAGTTGGTTCTGATTGACTCTGGAATCGATACATCCAGGTTTAAACCACACAGTACTAGGGCTGCCAGTTCGTCTGCAGCCAGTAATGCTTCAGTAAGCCTTGAAGATATTTTGCATACAGCTGGATGGTCATCAGAGTCTACATTCGCAAAATTTTATAACAAGCCTATTGTTAAAGAGAACACATTTGCTGACAAGGTGCTCAGCAATGTAAGCAACACAAATTTGTAATAAATGTTTTGCTGATTATGCTTAATGTTCATGTTGCTTGATCTCACAGCACGATAACGAGGTAGAATAGTAAAATTAAACGAGACTTACCTGTAAGTTGAAGTTTGATTGAGACCCACCCTCTGTTGGTACCTGTGAGTCACTCACATTAAGCCTTTGAAGACTGAGTTGGCGCATGCGCTACGATCTCTCATGTAATCTCCCAGCACTTTATAACTCGGTAGAATCTCAATCAAACTTCAACTTACAGGTAAGTCTCGTTTAATTTTACTATTTTCTAGCAAATTTCCTTTCCTTTACTTTTCCTGTAGAATGAGATTCATTTCATTATTAAAGGGGATGATAAAATCCCGGGGGGGACTGCCCTATATCTGCCATATAGGTATGTGCCGCCTCATCGGGAGGGAGTTTTTGCGCCGTTTTGGTCTGAAAAGGGGTATAGATTTGAACATTTTGGTCTGGGGTTTTAATTTCAACAATGATAACATAATTTTTGCTTAATGCAAAGGGTCCAGAGAAGTTTCGTGTGAATAAATGAACCACTTATTTAATGTCTCACCTTGAAAAATGTCTATACCTGTCGCTTAGCACGATTAATTAGCCCAATGTGATCTTTATGAATCTACTGTAAACGATTTCTTCGCTTCTTATCTGACCCAGATCGACTTTGTTGTTCACCATTTTGAAAATCAATAACCGCAAGCCATATCCTTGCCGGTGAACAGCACGTTACCCGAAGGGAAAATTCCATCTGCATGTATATTTTAAATAATATTTTTTATGGCTGGTTTATGTTGCATACATATATTATTTAAGTCTTACATATACTGCTTTTGTAAGAATTTCACATAAACAAGGAATCTCAGTGCTTTTACAAAATTAATATATATTGGCTTTCTCCCTCACCCTCTCTTCAAAAGAGGTTAATTGTTAATAATTGTCAGTTGAGTATTTAAATTAGGTGTTAATATATGACTTAATTATTTTTGGTGTTAACGCACTCTGTCCAAGAATGTTTTTCCAATCCGTGAAATTACCCAGCCCCCACTACAAAATTTGAATGGTTGGCTCATAATATTGTAAAGTGAAAGTATTATGAGTCCTATGGCTAAAAATCTTAAACATTTGGTTATGCAAAATATTACCAGTATAACAAATTTCCCTCATGTTAATTAACAAAATTGAAGGGAACATTTCAGCCATTAATTTACTATGCAGTACAAACTGTTTAGCACCCATGGGACAAAGTTCCTTTATTTTCTATCTTCAGCTGAAAAACCAGATTGCAGCATTGTATAGCTTAAGAGCCAAAGGCACCAAAGCCTTTGAAATTGATGAGCCTGGATGGAGGCTGCTTTGTTGGAGGCTTCGAATGTGTAAAAATTGTAAAGTGTAATAAATAAAAGTTATTTTTACCGAGACGCTTGTTTAATCTTTTCTGCTTAAGTACTAAAGTTATGTGTTGTTTGCTCTTAGAAACACCCTTATGAATCTTAGAATGATAAGAGATTTGGACTGGCCACTATTTCTTAAAATATTTCTTGTCAATTATCCTCTCTAGAATTGCGTTAAAACTTATAGAAGCGTACACAGACACAAATAGGGATTCATAGCCTGTCGATATTTTTTGCGGCTTTGTCAACAAAAACATGGAGACCTTTTCTTTTCGTCTTGGAACATTCCCGAAAATTGTGATATGTTCTTTATTCCTTTACATGTGAATTTTGTGAACGAAGTGTAATGAATTATTTTTTGTTTATAGAGATATCCTTATCCTTTTGAAACTTGTACCTGATGTTTCTTGGTCACCTTCATTCACGGTCTGGTTTCTGAATTTTATTTAGAACATCCCGTGAGAGGATTGAAATGTATAAAGATTTGAATTGGTCCGCAAGCCTAATTGTGTTATGGTTATCAATGTGGTTTTTTTATTTTGTTTTTCTAGACATGTTGTGAAGGATTTAAAACATTGGGAATAAAAAGATTGTATTGCCCATTTAGTAAATGGATTTCGTTTTCTGAGTGCGGTCATTGTGATCACATATTCAAATTGCAATTAACGTTAGATGGATTAAGAATGGCGTTGAAAGGCCAGCAAATGAATTGGCAGAATGAGCGTTCTTGTGTAGTGAAATTGTATTGTAGATCCATGGGCTTTCTAGAGGAGGAACGCAGTTAATGAAAGTGACTTTTTTCTTTATCTTTTCTAGAAAACCCCTGTATGAATTGAAATGCTTCCTTGTTGCCGTTTTACGCTGTGGGTGTATAGCTATATACAATGTTACTGCGACTGTCGATTAGGAGTTTTTAATCTCCTTATAGACAACTGGATCACATTTCAAAACTATGAGGAGTTTGACCCTCTCAAAGCTAACACACAATTTATTAGAGTCTATAATACTATTCTGGATAGAGATGTGCTGTTTCAAAATGTTAATGAGTATCCAGAAGAGTTAGTAGAAAGAGTAAACTTGTTTTCTGATTTTCATTAAAAATTGTAAAACGCTGTTGCATTTATATATTTCCAGAATAACCTTAGAAGAATTGAAAAACGGACAATTGTGCCAATTTACGCTTTGGAAAAACACAACAGAAGATGAATTGTGCGCACATTTTGTACGAATTGTTGGTTTGAGGTTGTGTATTGATGAAATTACAGATGCTAGTTATTGGAAATATATGAACGCAACAGCATTCGCAAGAGCTCAAATACAGCAAAAGTGTGTTTTGTTATATTTTCGTGTATTTGAAGAATTTTGGGCGAGTCACAGTAGGTGACTTACACATCCCGCTTTGTAATTTAAGGTCATGAATAAAGAAAGAAATGGCATGGTAAAATAACACTGAAAAAGCTATTGACTTGGGAAAACAACATGCAAATAAATGTTGTCAGGAAAAAAGCGAAAACAACATGCAAATAAATCATGTAGGGAGAAGAGCAAAAACAACATGCAAAATATATGTTGAAGGAAAAAAACGAAAAACAACATGCAAATAATTGTTGTTGGGTATTGAAAAACGCACAGTCTATCACCAATAAAAATCCAAGGGCGAACACAGTGTGACCTTCGGTGACTTACCGACCTAGGAAAAACGTGCACTCTATCACGAATACAAAACCAGGGATTACTATGAAAACAATACCAAGATGGCGGATTAATGGCCTGAATAGAATCCAAGATGGCGACTAATGGTTATAAACAATAGCAAGATCGTGAATTAATGGCCTGAATAGAATCCAAGATGGCGAACTAACGACCTTGAAACAACAGAAAGAGGTGGTAAGTCAAAGATAGAAAGACACGAAACTTGACTTGAAGTAAGAGATAGTGTAGGAAAACGTGAGAAATCATAAACGTGCAGGGTAGAACGTTCAACAAAGCCTGTAGGGACTAAGAAAGATGTCATTCAACGTGCGTAGCTCAGCGAAATAAGCGTAAGTAAATTGAAAGTAATTAAATAAAGCGAAAATAAGCCGAAGGTTGTCGAAGTTAGCGGAAATAAGCCGAAAGTAGCCGAAGTAAGTGGAAAATAGTCGAAGGTAGCGGAAGTAAGTGGAAATAAGCCGAAAATAGCCGAATGAAGCAGAAATGGATGGAAAGTAATGAAACGAAGCGAAAATAAACAAAAAAGAAACATTTGTTAGTCTAAAATTAATTGCAAAGGGTTTAATACGTTTTCTATTTTTTCTCTAGATATGCTGGACGAAGGCAATGATGTGTTGTTAGCGGGAGCACGCCATTTTGAATAACAAGGAGGCAACCCCTTGTTTAGAGCAGAGTTTACAGCAGTCGGGAGAAACAGATCCTTTCATAGTGTGGTGGAACAGAGAAGATTTCAATTAACCTTTCAACAATTAAGAACACCGGACGACAACGAACCACTCGGGGAAGCAATTACAGAAGCTACTCGACAAGGTTTACAGCAAGTGGTTGCTGAGCAACAAATCAATCCTGCTGATTATTCATTACTAATGGCCATTCATTCCAATTCATTTACTCATGTCTGGAGTCAATCTGCCTGTCATGTGCCTTTGAACGAGTGGCTTAATAATAAAGAGTACGCTCGCACATTTTAAGAAGATTAAGCGTGTAAATTAAATTCCACCAAAGTGGTGGATCCAGAGAGGGATGGTTTCCTTGTGGAACTCACACTTGTGAAAAGCCTGGGGCGTGGTGCAGGAAAGAAGGGGAAATGTGGAAATCCGGGAAAAACTGCCTGGGAAAAGATGGCAAAGAAAAAGCGATTTGTCGTACGTATCCAAAACAAAGATGACTTGTGTTGCGCCAGAGCGATAGTCACCATGAAAGAAAAAGTGGACAAGAGGTCCCATTACCAAAATCTGAGACATGGAAGACCCATTCAACAACGCTGGGCAAGTGCCACATCAAGAAGTGGGTGTTCCCGAAGGCCCCTGCGGGTTCAAGGAATTGCAAAAATTCCAAGATTACCTTGGACCACATGGATACCAACTTATCGTGGTTGAACCCTCGAAATGTTTTATTCTATTCAAGGATTCACAGTATAATCGAGCCCCTCATTGCATGGGTTTAGTAAAATATCAAGGACATTTTGATGGTCTCACCAGTATTCCTGCCCTCATGAATCGATCGTATTATTGTCGCCATCGGTCATTGGAATCAGCAAATTGATACCCTGTAGGTAATTTTTAGTTCAAATCTTGTTGCATCCAATGGAACACTTTGGCCAAAGATTAATAATAGTTAAGGTTCTCTCTTGGGGTTTTTATTGCAGAGCTAATTTGTATGCAACGGTGGGCTTGCATAATTACCTGACCATTGGCGCACAAGACGTTTAGACTTTAATAGTTTTTCATGTCCTCGAGATAGATGGGAGAAAACGGCTCTGTAATAGTCAGACAAACTTGAAATAAAGCGTTTTCAGCTCCAATTTGTGTATCTTTTGTTTATATATCCGAGTTTTAGCACTAAATAAGATATTAGGAAGCCGTTTCTCGCGTTGCTAGGTGATCGCTCTTATTTTCCTTTTAGTAGATGGTCCGAAAACTGGGCTCAAGTTACTTACCGGGCAAGTCTAGGCAAGCCTATTGTTTCTGTTGTAGTAGAGTGACGCACTATAGTAAACCTATACCGAATAAGTATGCAGGAGGACACTGACTAGGCACTTAATTAATATGGAGGAAGGCATTGACTAGGCACTTAATTAGTATGGAGGAAGGCACTTTTTTTCCCAAGGTTATAACAATGGGTGACGTCATTGACTAGACCTAGCTAGACCTTGCTAGACACCAACAAGGCTGATCTGGTCACTAATGTGACGTGGTTTGTATCGAAGATCAGGGATCACCCAATCGGACGTGGAAAACATCTCCCCGGGTAGGTCATAAACAACCGTGGAATAGAACCCCTGGAATAAAATGTGAAAACCAGTAAACCCTATGAAGATAATCTGTTTCTTCCGCTGCCTATCACTTTACAATGGTTGCCATACGAGGAATTTAGAGAGATACCCAGTACTATTACCAACATTACCGAGGCGGGGGGTTAGGAAAAAAGAAGTTCCATGGAGTCAAGTTGTCTGAACTAGACAACCTAGAAAAATTGTATGAAGTGAATATTCAAGTGTACAGTCTCGCGCCTACTCAGAGTCACAGTGAAGACGAAGACAATGAAGAAAATACTCCTGAGATTACCGCCAACCTGCTTCGCTGCTCTCACCACCACTACTCCAGCACTCTTTACTTGAGCTTGTACGAAAACCATTTCTCGTATATTAAAGACCTGTGGCAAGTACTGGAAACGCGCAAGTAATTTATGGCAACATGAAGCAACCTGTGATGCCAAAGTCCAGCTCAAGTACCCAGGTGGAGCTTACCATTTCCGGAAAACTATCTTTGAAGAATTAGAAGACAAAGGTATTGTGGTACCAGAAGAATGGCGGTACTTCCCTTACCACGCCACCTTTGATTTTGAATGTTACTTTGATAAAGAGAAAGCGCAAGAATTAAAGAACACTGAAAAGTTAACCTGGCAGTCCGCCCTTAAGTGTGAGTGTATGCAGTAACATGCCTGGTTACCAAGCACCCAAATGTTTCGTGTCAGAGGGAGATTCAGACCTACTTCTTGAAGAGTTTGTGCAGTACCGCACCACGATTAGCACCAAAAGTTCATCCCTGCTACGCCAAAGGTATGCAGAAGTATTTGAAGCTCTTGAAACTGCAAGAGGCCCGAATAACAGTGAATCCCACGAAGACCAATTAGCGCAAATACTCGTAGACATCAAAGGAAGGAAATGTAGAGTCTGGCGAAGAAGAGAGCGAAGATCAAAGTAGAGATATTGATTTAATGGCAAGTGATAATGACGAGGATGAAGAAGAAATTGAACCATAGAATGAAGAAGACCACACCTTTCTCGATGATGAAATACAAGAACAGGAAGACGTCTCCTTTTAAGATTGAACATTGAAGTGGACAGAGAAAGAAGACAGCAACTGAGACAAACGCGGGACTAGGTACAAGAGTTACAAGATATTGTAGGTGCTTCAGGGGACGTCAGTGACCACAAAGTCCTCAGTCAACTAGAGGAGAAACTGAACGCCTATATAGAAGAACTGCCAGTGTTGGGTTTCAATTCCAGAAAGTATGACCTGAATGCTTCCAAAGAATTCCTGTTCCCGTACCTCATCAAGCATAAGCCCATCAAGTTTACTGTGAAAAGGAACAATAATCATATGTGTATCAAGACAGACTCTTTAAAGTTTCTGGACATCTCTAATTATCTCGCTCCAGGGTTCAGCTACGATCAGTTCCTGAAAGCCAATGGTCAAGTTAAGTCAATGGTTTTGTAGAAAAAAGACAAAGGATATTCAAATTCGCTGAGTCAGCAAGCACGTGCACTTAATCTTAAGCACTTACTTTGAATGACTGTAGGAACATTAAAGCGGGTGGTAGTGTGAATAGCGGTAGGAACATTAAAGCGGGCGGTAGTTTGATTAAAGCAGTTGGTAGGATGATTAAAGTGAACCGTCGTTTAATCAGAAGGTATAAATATTTTCATCATTCAGTGTACATTCACTATTCGATCTTGAGTAGGACAACACCAGTGAACGATGGATCCTGAACTAGAAGCTTACATCACCCAAGCAATGTTGGAAGTGGAGAGAGATTTGTCTCTTCCCGCTAACTCCTTGGTGGCCGCTACACCATTACCAGAAATGAAGGAGAAAGTCACACTAAAGATGTTGGAGGTACGCCTTGATCCACATTTTATGGCAACAATACCTGCGAAGTACATACATCATTCGAAAGAGCTACATCTCTGGAAAAAAGTGGCCAAGCAAGAAAAGACGATCTCGCTGCTAACGAGTACGTTGGAACTGCAACAAAAGAACAACGAGTTACTCGCGGACCTTTTGGATGCGCTACTGAACCAGTAAAACAAACCTCTAAAGAAAAAAACGGCTCTTTTAAGAGCCACCAAATAAAATAAAAATTTATGACCAATACATTCACACATAGGTTTTACTTTACTTTGTGTTTTCCTTAACAAAGCGATTGCAAGAAGGAAATACTGAAGGGAAAGCACGCTTTTATGTTAAAGACATAATAGATTGTCTACTATCCAATCAGGGTTAAAAGAGCCCGGGCAAGTCTAGGCAAGCCTATTGTTCCTATTGTAGTAGAGTGATGCTTATTAGTAAACCTATCCACTTCATTATATATGGAGGAAATAATAATAATAATAATAACGCGAATATTTATACAGGATAACCTATCAGTTCTAATAAAAAGAACTGTTATCAAAAGGGTCCTGTAATTATCTCATAATTAGCTAAAAAATAAAAAATAAAATCGAAAAAGGAAAATAGAATAAAATAACACTAAGAAATCTAAGATTTAAAAATCAAAATCTGTAAAAATCATCGACTTACAAGACTGAAAAGAGTTATGAATTATGGAATACTATTGAAAAAATTGTTTTAAATTACTCTTAAAAAGAAACCTAGAGTTTACAGTTCTTAAATGCCGAGGTAAAGTATTATAAACTAGAGCCCCTTGAAAGGCAAAACTTCTCCGTCCAAATTCTAATTTGGTTTTGGGAAGTTTTAGTGAACACCCATTGTTTCTAGTGTTAATGTTGTGTTCAATTTTTGTAAAATATCCTTTAAAAGGGGTACAGACATTATCCTGAAGACAATCAAACACAAGCTGGCAGGACTGCCTCTTTATTAAACTCTCCACTGTCTGGACTTGATAATTTCCACCAATGACTTTCTGACTTCGACGTTCAATGCTTTCAATTCGACTCTTACGGGAATGTGACCAACAGAGACCCAAAGTTCCACAGTACGTAAAAACAGGTTGAATCATTGCTTTGTAGATTTTCTCAGCACTGCTCTTGTCGATTAAAGGTCGGATTCTCCTGAGTAAATTAAATCTTCCAGCTGCTCTTTTATACATTTTGTCAAAATGTGATTCGAGATTTAAGGATGAATCCAAGTTTACACCCAAGTATTTATACGATGACGTGGTATTAATCAGTGTTCCATTTACAGTCAAGGCTAGTTGTCTTCCATTCAATGCATTAAGCCTTTTGGCAGTACCAAAGATCATACACTCAGTTTTGCCCTTTTTTAGATTAAGGACAAGCTCATTATCACGAAACCAAGAAGACAGGTTGTGGCAATCTTCACTGAGATGCCTTTGAATGGATTCCAGATCTTTAGCAGCCGTGAAAATTACTGTATCATCCGCATAAGTGATGACTGAGGTTGACTGAAGAGGCGTATGCACATCATTAAAATGGATAGTAAACAATAGCGGACCCAATATACTTCCTTGTGGAACTCCAGAAAATATGGGATTGGCATCTGACAAAGCACCTTTGAATTGGACTGATTGCGTTCGAGAAAACAAATAATCAGTAAACCAATGAAGCTCCTTATTGTTAATTCCATAAGACGGCAACTTGTTAAGAAGGCATGAATGACTAACAGTGTCAAATGCTTTTGACAGATCGATAAAAACAGCACCCACGATGTTTCCATTGTCAACTTCTTTCCTGATTTTGTCCGTAAAATATGTAACCGCTAGTTCAGTAGAGCGTTTAGATCGGAATCCGAACTGGAAAGATGACAGCAAACCATTATTCTCGAGGTGTGACAACAACTGTTTATATACAATCCTTTCCAAGATCTTAGACAATACTGGTAGTATAGATATTGGCCTGTAATTGTCAAGCTCAACCATGGAACCGCTTTTGAAAAGCGGTATAATCTTGGCAGCTTTCCATTCCATGGGCACTGAACCAGACTGCAAGGATAAGTTTATTATGTAAGCTAATGGCTTGGTTATAATAGTCGCTGCATCCTTTAACATTCCAGGGGGAAGATTATCCAGGCCGGTCGATTTATTTCTTTTAAGATTTCTCAGCTCTCTGAAGACTTCATCATCGGAGACTGAACTAAAAACAAAATGTTCAGGTGATGTGGTTTCACATGAATTTACAGGCTTACCCCAGACAAAATTGCAAAGCGGAAAACTCTTGGTCTTCAAAACACCAGCTATAGTGGAAAAGAAGTCACAAAAGCTCTGAGCAATAGAGGACGCGTTATTATTATTATTATTATTATCATTGTCAATGTGGACGACTCTTGGAGTTTACAGTGTCCAGTATATGAACATGTGATTATCAAGTCAGGCAAACTTCAAGAATCGGCAAATGGCGGTATTGTCTATCTTGCTAAGGACCTTCTTTGTTCTAATCAAATACTGTGTCCCGGATTTCTGGAAGATGTCGAGGCACTGGGATATGAGCCCAAGAATATCCGCATTATGGCTGGGCCCAAGAGAAGTATGCATTCAAAGAAGTGTAAAATTTGGCATATTCCTCCGCGTCTCATGAAAGAAAGATTAAATGCCTCTGACCCTCCGTGGAAACGAGCATGTCTTGAGTGTTTAGACACCACAAGGTACGTGAAGAAACAAGTGAAGAAGAAAAAAAACCTGGATGAACCCACAAAGTTAAAGAGGCAAACACCAAGTAGTCACTTCCCGTGGAGATACCTTTCTCCTGCCAGCAAAACTTAACGTGCAAGGAACATTCGTCAACAACGATCAAGGCTGAGCAAACACGTTCAGCGATTTTACAAACAAGCAAAGATTGAGTTGCCGGGTGAACAATTAAGGAATTATGTAATCTCATTGAAGCAATTGAAGGTTCTGAGATAGGACAGAGAGAGCTGAAGAAAATTACTGCAGAAGGAAATAAGCTTGAAGGGAAAGAGGGTTTAAAGGCAGGAGACTGCATCAGTGAAGTGTGGCCAAAAGACCGAACTGAGCAAACACGTTCAACGCATTTTTACCCAGCTAGCTAGACACTGACTAGGCACATAATATGCAGGAAGGCAGTGACTAGGCACTTAATTAGTATGGAGGAAATCCAAATTAGTATGCAGGAACACTCTTATACATATTAATAAAGGGAATCCACTCTTTCCCCAGGTTATAACAATCGGTGACGTCATAGACTAGACCTAGCTAGACCTTGCTAGACACCAAAGGGGGTTAAATTTGACCCTAGTCTACTACTAACATACATGTTTATTTAATTTGTGGTTGTTGTTTTTATTTTTTCGTTTAATTTTTTTTTGGCCAAACAATGAATATGTGTTCAATTTGAAAAGAAATTGATATGGTTATTTTGTGTTGTCAAGAGTCTCCTTTTTATTGAAAGGTAACACAAAGGCAGACTGATTGCAATAGGCGTTATTTTCATTTTTAAGTGGCAAACACTGCACCTTTATTATTGA